CTTTATGATGACTCATTGGACAAATTAAAATGGCTTTTTCCTGGAACATAAGTTTTGAAGATGTAAATTGAAAAATGTTTCTCACCTTACGAAATCCTAATATAATAGATCTTGGATCTAAACTCATAAATTTAAAGGTTTAGTAAGTTTACCGTTAAATAAGTCAAGTTAAAATCTTGGATCCGCTTCTACAATATTAATCAAGAGAGAGACAAAAGCTTAAAACATGACATATATCATTCAAAGAGGAAAAGATCACTTCTAACGTGATTAGCTCTCTCCCCACTCTCCCACGCCAAATAAAGAGGTTGTGTTTGGACACCATAATGTAATTAATAACTAGGCTGCATGTGTAATTACTAAAATTTTGATAGAGTAGTGTTTGCACGTCATAATAAATTCATGAGATCTGTTTGTTTGTAAAAATATAATATAGTGCAATTGCCCTATCGTGTAGTGCAAGGGTATTTACATAATTAGATTTTTTTGTTTCAAAATATAGGTTAATTATAAAAACTTAAAGCAGTATTTTTCTATGAACAGGTAAATAAGCTTTATATCAGGTAAAAAAACAACCATTTATCTGAGAAATATCAAATATTTTATTACTAGACATCTTAAAATACATATTGCTTTGTTAAAATATTGCGATTTCATAAAAAGTGAAAAAAATTATAATTAATTAACTAAAATATAATATCCAAACAAACAACTCTTAGGAATATGAGTAGGTTTAACCAGCGGCGAAGCCACATGGTCATAAGGGTGGTTCGTCAAAAAATTACATTGTGTATATAAGTAAAATGTTATTATGTTTTAGAGGTGTAACACATATTAAACACCCTTTTTTGGGAATTTTTTTCGCTTCTTTTAAATTTGAATACCCTTGAGGAAATTCCTAACTTACTCGTTGGGCTTAACAAAGAAACAGGAGCAACAAAATATGAACGATGATAATAAATTTAAGAAATATGAGTAAATTTAAGGAAGAATTTATGTGCACCCACTACTTTAACAATGGATTCTAAGATTTTAGAGAATTGCCTGGTACAAAAATGGCATAGTTTCTTTTCAACAGTATATCACGTGAAATACCCAAAAGCAACTAATCAACTTCAGATTTCAGATGCTATATATATCTACCCAAACCAACTATGTGTATCTTTACTAAGCTAGGGGACCAAACCCCCACGCTTTATCTTAGTTCTTGATTCCTAAAGAAAGAATCTCAACACTTTCTATGGAAACTTAGGTTGAGAGATAGGAAAGGGAAAAAGGAACTAAACCTAAGCCATTAAACATGCTGAAAGATGCCAACATGACTTTTTGCTTTTAAAACAAACACCGAGGATTATATATGCTATTGAGGGGGATAAAATATTGGCCAGAAAACATGCCGATAGATGCAAAATGGCCCCTTTTTTTCAAGGACAAGAATAAGATAATGTAGCCACAGGTAAAGATTCAACTGGTTAATCAATGGGGTTCAAACATACATTTCGCACAACATAGATATATGAAGAATATGTCGTATGTCTACCTTTTTCATTTTCTGGTTTATATTAAAACGAGACAAAAAGAAACCCCCATAGAAATAGAAAGTATATATATAATCAACTTCCATCGAAATCTTTTTATTGGTATGGTTCAAAATTTGTTAGACAATTAATAAACTCATCACTTAACTTTTTTCCACTTAAATACCAGACTCTCTTGTTGATCATATTGATTGTTACTACCCATGTCATAGCCCAACATAGTTTGATATCATAAAGTCAAATAATTTAGGACGAACTAGGGTTGGGACTTGTATATCCAACGCATAAAACCTGACAAAAGAATAACGAAGACTTAAATTCTCTATCGTCGTATACAGAAACTTTTTTTGGGTGGTTGTTTTGTATTGTAATAGTTATAGATCCTATGTCCAAATGGCGTACCTAGGAATTCTGTTCAAACTTTAAACAAGTCAATGAATTTTTTTCTGATGAATGGCGTACCAAAGTTTTTAATTAAACTACACAATATTTAGTTAAATAATAAAAATACTTGTAATCGAACAATAATTTAATATATCAAAATTAATATAAAAAAGACAACAATAGAAATTTTACTAATAAAAGCAAACATAAAATTAAAGAAAAGAGAGAGTCGAAAGGGTTTGTAATCTGTATCTATGGATAGATTTTTTGAAGAAATTTTTGGAGAGTTTGATTTTTAAATTATATATTTTATTTAAGAAATAGCTTTTTATTAAAAACTACTTTTAAGATTAGTTGTTTGTCTTTATATAAATCTTAAGTTTTAAGAGTTATTATTTAGAAAAAATTAGATTGAAAAAGATTCAAATAGACATTATACACACTGGATCTCCGATTTTTGGGAAACAAAATAGGCAGATAACTTTGAACCCGTGAACAACATATCATTTTGAACACTCTAGATTGTTGGACTATCTCACTCAACTATATTAAGGGTATTCAAATATTATATATAACTATATAAAATGGTGTTCGACTTATATATGCAATATAATTTTTCGACGAAAGTTGATCGCTTTATCAACCATCCCCAGCATAGTGTGGCTGCGCCACTGCCTATGTCCATTATTGATTATTTTGCATGGTCCAAACAAAATGGCCATAACTTATAGCCCGTTTGGCCTAGCTGCAAAAATCAGCTTATTTTGAGAAGTGTTTTTTTTTTTTTCAAAAGTGATTTTCTCAAAAGTACTTTTGGTGAGAAGCAGTTTGTTTTTGGCTAATTAGTTTGAAAAGCACTTCTAAGCAGCAATTAGTGTTTGATCAAGCTTTAAAAAACTGCTTCTGAGTGTATTTTTCTCAAAAGTGCTTCTCAAAAAAGTGCTTTTGGAAAGAAGCTACTTTTTTCTGCTTCTCCAAAACTACTTATGTTTCTCCTCGAAAGCACGTTTTTTTCCTTTCAAAAGCTTGGCCAAACACCTCAATTTTTGACCAAAAGTGCTTTTGGCAAAAAAAAAAAAGCACTTTTGGCCAAAAGAAGCTTGACCAAACAGGCTATCAGTATAGAAATGTTCAAATGAAGTTTCGTTTGAACTAAATTTCATATGGACTACATTTTTTCTTTATCACATGGTGAGTCTAATAGCATGTTTGGCCAAACTGCAAAAATCAGCTTATTTTGAGAAGTGTTTTTTTCAAAAGTGTTTTTCTCAAAAGTACTTTTGGTGAGAAACAATTTGTGTTTGGCTAATTAATTTGAAAAACACTTCTGAGTAGCAATTAGTATTTGGGCAAGCTTTAAAAAACTGCTTCTAAGTGTATTTTTCTCAAAAGTGCTTCTCTAAAAAGTGCTTTTGGAGAGAAGCTACTTTTTTCTGCTTCTCCAAAGTTGCTTCCGCTTCTCCTCAAAATTACTTTTTTCCTTCCAAAAACTTGGCCAAACAGCTCAATTTTTGGCCAAAAGTGCTTTTGGCAAAAAAAAAAAAACACTTTTGGCCAAAAAGAAGCTTGGCCAAACAGGCTATAATACTCCTCCAATTGCAATTTCAGTGAAGCTCAAGCTAAAGGAATATTGGAGAATGAAGGATGCCAATAGATGTCATATTTCTTGAGTCCATTACTCAAATGGTCACTCAATTATCCCAAATTATCTGCTAAAGATATTTTTCTTTCGTTTGTATTAACAAAGTCACTTAACTATGCTTATAGCACTTAGAAGGTCACTCAACTAGATTTTCCAAATTTTTGATTGTCAAATATCTATTTTACCCTCTAAATTATCAACAAAAAAATTAAAACTTTTAAATATTATAATATTTTTCTCTTTTTAATCTACATTGTGGACTTACCTATAGAATAAATATATTTAATTTATAAAATAAAAGTAAAAAATTAGTTTTCAGCTCATATAATGACAGAATAATAATATAATTGAGCATAATTTTCAAGAATATATAATGTATATTATAAAATTACTTTTATTTAAGTAATTATTTTTATAGTACGTGCATGGAATATATACTTTACAACTTTTATTTTCTTTCATTCTCGATTGTATAAATAAATTTTTGAATTCTTGTTATTAATACTAAAATTATTACGAACAAATTATTCTAATTAATTTTTTTTACTATGCTCATTATTTTGTTATTCCAGCATTATATATGCTTAAATACTTTTTATTTTTTAATTTATAAATAAAATTTATTTATTGTATAACTAAGTCCATAATATAAATTAAAAGGGAAAAAATCATAATATTAAGAAGTTAAAAAAAATAAAAAGAAGATAGATATTTATAATTTAGGGGGTAAAATGGGTATTTGGCAATCCAAAATTTGAAAAATCTAGTTGAGTGAACTTTTGAGTGCTATAGACATAGTTAAGTGACTTTGTTGTTATAAAAGAAAGAAATGTGACCTTAGCAGATAATTTGTGATAGTTGAGTAACCATTTGAGTAATGGACTCTATATTTCTCCTAATAATTAGTTTATGTAAAATTGAATCAATTAGTTTTGAGAATAATTTCTAGTTCCAATTCTTTAAACTTCTTTATTAATATACATAAAATTGTAAATCTAGTTAGATGCTCTTTCTGGTTGTGATAGATGTTCGCATACTTATTTTTACCCAAAAATGTCCTTTTGCACTGAAAACTCCACGGAATTGTCTAGTTCTAATTTTAGTTCTCAATTTTGTTGAACATTATAAACTTAATATTTGAAAACATTTATATGTAAAATTGAATTTATAAACATAACAGAATTACTCATGTGTTGGGTACTTACCTCGCTTAATGTACTGTACGGGCTTTTAAAGTACTTTTATCCTCTCTTTTTTTTGGTTGGAAAGATAGGTAATATTATAACATAACAAATATTTACATAAGTTTAGAGTCTTGGATGCATACACGGCATCCGTTGTACAAAGACAGAGCTAGATTGTTTGTTTCCCACTACTTGGGAACAACACTAGTATTGGAAGTAGAAGCTACTAAGGGAGTTGTACTATTACACACACTAGCTAAACCATATGATCCAGAGAGAGATTGTGTAACCCTGGTGATCTTGTTCATAACAAGACATAACAAAAGGTGGGGGTGTTCCAAAGAGTAGGCATTGCTCTTGTACATGTGTTGCACCATATTTAGCTAATTTATCTGCTACACAATTCTGTTCTCTGTAGATAACTTGTACGGATGGACTATCCAACAGTCGGAGCAAGGACCTGCAATCATTAATAATATTAATAAAGCTCATTGCTGGTGACTTTAACATACCAATTATTGCTTGTGCATCCGTCTCAATGATGATGGGTAAGAGCCTTTGTTGGATAGCAATTTGTAAATCTTTGAGGAGTGCAAGGAGTTCTATTTGTATAGAGGTGCCTTCTTTGACAGACCCTGCAAAGCCTATGATCCAGTTACTTTTGTGGTTGCGGATAACTCCACCAATTCCATAAGTGCATAGAGCCGGGCAGCAAGATCCATCAATATTTAATTTGTAATACATATAATCAGGTGGATGCCATTTGATATAGATAGGAGACTTTGATCTCTTCTTACTAGATTGATTTGTTAAAAAGTAATATTCAGCTACCTTTACGAACAAAGAAGGCATATTTAAGTCGTTTACTTTTTGTTCATAAACAAACTTATTCCTTTTAAGCCATATTTCCCATAATGAAAAAGGAATTATAATTGTAGAAGGGATATTGTATGGTGTAGAAGGCAAAGGTGTATGTATAAGTTGGTACACCCAAGGCATAAGCTCATTTGAGGAACAGCTAATGTGCTAGTGGGAGGTGATATTCTAAGAGATTTCCAAAGAAGCATGGTAAAAGCACAAGTTTGAAATAAATGAGGAATTGTTTCATTATGTTGGTGACATTGTGGACAAGTTGTTGAGTTAGTAATACCTACTTGTGAGAGATACACAGCTGTTGGGAGTCTGTTATGACATAATAGCCAAATGAAAAAAGATATTTTAGGGGGAATGAGAAGTTTCCAAATCCACTTGTAGGAGTTAAGCAGACATGTATCAGTGGGTGTATTAATGGTGGTTAAACAGCTGTATATAGAATTAACTGAGAAGATTCCATTATCCGTTAAGTTCCAGTAAATTTTGTCATAGTTGGTGGATTCTATTGGCATATAAATATTGTTAATAAAAGAAATTATATGTAAAGGTAATTCAAAGGGTATGTTCTAGGTTCCATCTATTATTAAAGTAATAATTAGATACTAATTTATTTTCCTCAAATTGAGGCATAGGGCCATGAATATAGTCTCTAAGTATGAAATTATGCTTGAGCCAGGGGTCAGTCCAAAACTTAACATGTTGTCCCGTTGCAATATTCCATTTATAACCTAATCTACAATATTTCCAGCCGTTAATAATATTACGCCATATAGTAGAGCTATTGTAGCTTGGTAGTGGCTTTGGCCGTACATAATTGTGTAAAAGAACTTGTGCACATAACTGTTGTGGATCATTGAACATTCTCCATGCAAGACTTGCATGGAGTGACTTATTCTTAGTATCAAGACTTTGTATACCTAAACCCCCAACTTCCAAAGGTTTCGTGATTGTGGACCACTTAAGGAGATGTAATTTTTTCCTTTGTACAGTTGTGCCCCGTAGGAAATTCCTTTGGTATTTATTAAGGTGACTTAGAATATAACTAGGCAGTTTTATATATTGCATCAAGTGATTTGGAAGATGGATAAGGGTGGATTTTATTAATGTTAGTCTTCCCGCTCGATAAAGAAAATTAGTTTTTCAGCCAGCCAATTTTGTTTTGAAATTATCAAGTAAGAATTGATAGTCAGATTTTGCAGGCTTGGTTGTAAAAATTGGGAAACCCAAGTACTTTCCAAAACTACGACCCTCTTTCATATGAAAAAGTTGCAAAATTATATTTCTAATATTGGGTTAACAATTTTTGGAGAAGTAGATTTTTGATTTCTCAAAGTTAATAGATTGGCCAGATTGATTAGTAAATTGTGTCATAGTACTCACCATTGATTGACATGTACTAGTTGTAATTTGTGAGGTGAGGGTAATATCGTCTGCGAAGAATAAATGAGATAATGAAGGCCCTTTTTTGCTAATGATATGGGTTTCCAAGCCTGATAATCAACAGCATTATTGATTTTTCTGGACAACATTTCAAGACAAAGGATAAACAGATAGGGTGACAAAGGATCACCCTGTCTTATACCCCTTGTGGGCTGAAAGGCATCAGTTGGACTACCATTGATTAATATAGAGGTAGTAGTGGTGGTAATATAAGACATAATTAACTTAATAAACTTAGCTGAAAAATTTAAACTAACTAAAGTATTACAAATAAAGGACCATTCTAATTTGTCAAACGCCTTTTCTCGATAAATCTTAAGAAGCATACTGAGTTTATTCCCTTACATTTTTTGAAATTTATTGATAACTTCTTGAACTATGATAGCATTATCCTCAGCTCTTTTATTTTGTTGAAAACTAGATTGTGTAGGATGTATGATGTGTTCCAATATCGGCTTTAATCTGTTAATCATTATTTTTGTGATTATTTTATAAATAGTATTACAAAGATTAATAGGTCTATATTGAGCAACCGTGGAGGCGTTATTATTTTTAGGAATAAGACAGATAAAGGTAGAATTTATTTTGTGGTCAATTTTATAGTCAGTGAACACCTTGTGACAGAACTGTGTCACATATTCTCCAATAGTGTCCCAATAATTTTGGTAAAAAGGGGATGGAGTCCATCAGGACCAGGTGCTTTCATAGGCTTGAAAGACTTTATAGCATTCAGAATTTCAAATTTCTGTAGAGGTTGTATTAGGGAATCATGGTCAGCTTGTGTTAATATATTTGAAGGAAGTAGTGTTGATTTTGAAATTGAGATAGTTTTCTACGTGGTAAATAGATTTTGATAATAAAGGAAAATGTGATCAAGAATTTTTGTAGGGTGTGTTATCCAATTTCCCCTGGTCTTGAAGAGCTGTGATTCTATTGTGCCTTCTACGATTAATAGTAGTGAGGTGGAAAAATTTGGTATTGGCATCCCCATTATTAAGCCAGTCAATACATGATTTTAGTTTCCAAAACTCTTCCTCTAACCTAAGAATTCTATTAAAATCCAACATTATGTCTTTTTCCAAATTTTGTAAGAACTTACTATTTGGAAAGTGGATAGAAGCCCGAATCCCATTTAATCTAGCAAGAATATTCTTTTTTTGCTTAAAAATATTACCAAAGGTAGATTTGTTCCATTGTTGTACTATTGTTGTGAAATTATCAATTGCAGGAAGCAATATGACATTATCCAGCCAAGCTTGTTTAACCACATAATTAAAATCAGGATGACTAGTCCAAATAGTTTCAAACCTAAATAATTTTGTCCTAGGTAATGGGCAGTGATGAAGTTCTAATTTAATGGGACAATGATCCGAGTGTGTACGGGGAAGGTGTGTAACAAGAGCGTTAGAGTATTGATTAATCCAATCATAATTAGCAACTATACGATCAATACGTTCAAGGATAGTATACTTCTTATGTCTTCCATTAGTCCAAGTATATCGACTACCCTTAAAACCTAAATCAGTCATGTGACAATAATTAAGGCAGTCTAAAAATTTATTAGAGCGTGAGTTATTTATAGGAAGTCCACCAAATTTATCAGTTGCATGAGTGATTTCATTAAAATCACCTCCAATTAACCAAGGTCCATGACAATTATCGTGTACAGACATGAGATTATCCCATAACAACTGTCTATTAACTAATTCATTACTGGAATAGATAGCAGTAAATAAAAATTTAAAAGGTAAAGGTTTTACCTGGACATGGCAGTGAATTTCTTGTGTAGTGGTGGCAACTGGATGAACATCTAATGCATTAGCCAACCACAAAATAGCAATTCCTCCAGAATGGCCTGTGGCAGCCATCTCAATCATACCATCAAAATTAAAATCATCCTTCACACTTTGATGTGTTTGACAGTGTGTTTCCAAAAGGACAACTAACGCTGGACTATTATAGTCAAGTAGAGACCTAAAATTAAGTCTAAACTCAGTGGAGAGTGCTCCCCTACAATTCCATATGATAAAATTCATATGAGTATCTTCTAGATCAGCCGTAGGACTTATGCTTCGATTTATCCAATTACTCCTGCTCTCCCCCAAACATAGGAGAAAGGTTGGGAGTAAGAGCATTGCATATTTTCCCACCTCTGGATTGGTGGTAGGCCTTAGCCGAAAAGAGACTCTCCTTAGGGTTGGGGGACACCTTACGAATATTTTTCTTTCATATTTTTCCTTTTGCACAAACACTTTGATCCCATCAAGCCATGCATATATTGGACGAGTTTCCCTATTGTAAACGATTGCTGTGTCGAGTTCCGCCTATAAATTATCGTCTTGTTCTTAGTGATTGGTATTGGGCGGGGTGAGTTGACTAGAGATGGGGCTGGTGTTGGTGGTATTGGAGGTTCCAAGAGAGGCAGAAGGGGTTGTGGATTCGCATATGGTTATATCCATGGAGTTGATAGGGTAGGGGATGGATAAAAAGGCATACGAATTAGATGTGGGTGAAGATGAGTAGGGTCCCATACCGGAATTGGAAGGTTTAGAGGTTGATATGGGGAGAGGTGTGGAGCTTGCATCATGGACCAATGGTATCGTGCAAATAACTCTGTCCCTAGTTGCATGCCCTCCGATATTATCTGTGCAAGATCTCTTGGGTTGTTTATGCGGATGGTCACCTCTTGGTGATTGACCTCTATAGTGAAGGTTAAGGCATAGTTCTGGAGGCTCGTTTCTAGCCAAGATGCTAGAGTTAATGGAGCTTGTGGTGACTGGGCTGTGTAGATTATGGTGTTGGGCTCCATTATCAAGTGGGAGGGAGGAAATAAGAGTGGGTTCTGTGAATGAAGTAGATGGATGTTCTGTCTGTGTGGGTGGGGTTGTGACCTTCTTAGGTAGTTGAAGTTGTTGGCAATCATTGTATACTTTAGTGGGAGTAGCTGGGGCAGTGTTTAAAGGAGATAAGACTGATGTGGGAGACGATAGTATAGCTAAAACCAGAGAAGTATGAATGGAGGATGTAGGCGGTTTGATTGATGGAGTGGAAGGTTGTGTCTTTGAATAAGAATGAGCTATGGTAGTGATATCTCATGATTGTGTTCCTGCATGGAGACTAGCCTAGGGTTTGAAGAATTCGAAGGTGGTGATTGAATAATGCCTTTGTCTTGCTTGTGTGTTGTTTGTGGCTTTTGTTGGGTATCATTAAATGAAGCTGACCGTCTAATGGGTAAGGGAGGGGTTAGGTCTTGCATATGAGGGAGTGGGTCGTGGCATATTGCATGCATGGTGATAGGTTGTGGTGGAAAGTGGACCAAGTGTGATTGGGCCGTGGAGATAGGGAGGGTGAGGTGTGCTTGAGTAAGAGTTTGTTTGTTTGGGGAAATTTTTAGGTCAGCATTAGGAGGATTAGCATTAATAGTGCCCTCTAACTCCAGTGCATTAAATGGATTAGCAGTAGTAACAGGAATTGCTTCACCAGTAGGCATTTCATTTTTGTGTAAATTATAAGAGTGATTAGAGTTATTAAGAAACAGTTTATTAAAAGGCAAAGTATTAGGAGTAGTATTCCTATCCAAAGACATACCTGATCTGCGTAGGTTTCCTTTGCCATTGTTAATCTTCCTAGCCGAATTAGTAGGAAAAGTAACAACCTTCCATTCATTATTGGGTGATGCAGACTTAATAATTAAATTAGAATTTATGGTTGGGTTAGCAGTAGTGGTCTCATTCGAACTAGGAGTTGTTTTGTAAGAACATACCAACTGATTATGTCCCATCCTACCACACTTGACACAAAACAAATTAAGCCCTTCATATACAATAGTTTGTTTATGATGGCCAATAAAAATATGAGTGCAAAGTGGTTAATCCAAGGGAACCTGGACACACAACCTAGCATACCGTCCCCTTATTGTGGAGGAAGTGCAATTATCAATGGTTAGTAATGTTCCAACCTTATTACCCAATTTCTTCAATATATGAAAATCATAAAACTCAATTGGCAACTCAGGCAGACGTAGCCAAATAGCAGAGTAGTTAATGGTGGTTTCAGATGGCATGAACTTTGGTTCTCATGGCCTAACAGAAAAATGATTAAGAATAAACCAAGGTTCATCATTTGTAGCATGAATCTTATTCGCCTCTTTCTGAAATTTAATCAAGTAAAAGTCAGAGCCTAGATCAACAAGTGGTATATTCTCCGTAGGTTTCCATAAAGCATATATTTTTTGCCTCAGTAATTGATGTCCAATTTTCTGACCATATAGCTAGACAATCACCGCATGCTGCCATGGCTTATAAATTCTTTCCTTCTCATTCAGGGAAAGTGGAATGAAGATATTAGGGTCAATGGGTGCATCCAATTCCGCGGTGAGAACCTGTGGAAAAGCAACCGAATTATTTGAGGAAGAAATTGGAGTTGAGATATTATGAGAGAGTAGGGTATGAAGATAAGATGGGGGAAGAGGTTTGGATGGTTGCATAGCATATTCAGTCGAATCAATAATCATATTGGTGTCTGGTGGTATGAAAGAAATCTCTTTGAATGATTGTGGAGTTGAAGAGGATAATGGAATGAGGTATCAGGTGGCTTGGGTGGTATGAACAAGGGTGGTAGTGAATTCTTGCTTGAGAGCATTTTTAACATTGTTATTGATTTTTTTTTCCAGTTGGAGTCGATTCACTTTTATCCTTAGAACTTAGAAACACATTCATTACAACTACTAGTAGAAAGATTGATTTTTCCCCCTCCCAAAGTACAAAATTTCAATTTTGTTGTTGATGTAATTAGATAGGTAGTACTTGTAAAAATTGTACTGGGCGTCCTACTTGGTCGTCCCATTTAACTTGTACCTACTTTTTAAATTTTTTTTAACTTGCACCAACTTTTTAAACAATTTCAAACATTTTTCTCCTCTTTCTTCTTCTTCTTCGGGCGACAACGATTTTATACGGTGTTTGTGAATATATTTTAAGGTATTTTATGATATTTTACAGTGGCGAGTTATTGTGACGCTTTATTTTTTACTATTGCTTAGTGTTTCTTTTTCTTTTTTCTTAATTGCAAACTAGTTTAGTTAGATTTATTGTTATTTTGACAAATTGATGATTGGGGTTTGTTCTTGATGATATCTGGAGGTTATGTTTTAAATTTGAGCTCATTTGGATTTTGGAGTAGATTTAGGTATTAAATCGTATATTTGATTGTTAAAATTCGAAAAACAAATTCTGTTTCTGGGTAATTTACACTTCAAGCCTATTTGGCCTTAAGTGTATGAAAACATTAGTTCCACTTTAGATCTTTTGGCCTTAAGACTTACTGGTCTTAAGTGCATGATATTTGGCCTTAATTATTCATGATATTTGGCCTTAATTATTCACTTCAGACTTACTGGTCTTAAGTGTAGGAAAATGTTTGTTGCACTTCAAACTTTTTGGTCTTAAGTGCATTTGAAGTGTAATTTTTCACTTTAGACTTATTGGTCATAAGTGCATGAAACCATTGGTTACACTTGAGACCTATTTGGCCTTAACTGCATCTGAAGTGCAATTTTCACTTCAGATTTATTGGTCTTAAGTGTAGGCAAACGTTTGTTGAACTTCAGACCTTTTAGTCTTAAGTGCATCTGAAATGTAATTTTTCACTTCAGACTTATTGGCCTTAAGTGCATGAAACCATTGGTTACACTTGAGACCTATTTGGTCGTAAGTGCATCTGAAGTGCAATCTTTTCACTTCAGATTAATTTTTTTAACTTCACACCCGATAAGTCTGAAGTTGATCGTAAAATGGGTAGACTTGCAATTTTTTTTACCAAGTAGGTATAAGTTCAATTGTGACCCCAAAATCGGGTATAAAAGCAAAAGCCTCCTTAGTACTTAGCTTTGTGGCCTAGTCCGAGAGTCCACATAACTAGCGGTTGTAAATATCTATACTTGGTTGAAATTATTTTATTTTTTTTAATTTTGACCAAAAAAATATGTAATTATTTTTAGTACAATCTGCACTAATCTTCTTTCGATTAACTTTTCCCCTCCCTCCTGTTAATCACATGATAATTATCACTATGTCATAATCCACAATCAGCTCTTTAATCCTTTGGGTGACGAGGGTCCCATGGAGGCTAAGGAGAGGCGAGAGGACAAAGAAAAAGTAAGTTACATTGGAGTGACCACTTTATATAATAAATTTAATTATCTCAATAATGAGTTGAAGAGTACTACAAGATCATACTGTTGTACTTTTGCTGTATGAGTTAAATAATTTTAATTTCATCACAATGTTAACATAATTCAGATTAATGCTTGGTGATGTGTAAAGAAAAAGGCACCTATTTTTCCACAATTGTTATACTCTTTCTACAATTTTCCTTTTACATAGCAATTAGGACTCACTTTTTTTTAATCTTTTATTTAGCCGAGAGCCTTTTGGAAAGATCTTTTCTACTTTTTCACAATAGGGGTAAGACTACGTACATCTCACTCTCTTCAAATCCCACTTGTGAGAACTCATTGCGTTTGTTATTGTTGTTGTAAATATGAGTTAGGACAACTATTGGGTTTTTAAGCTATATTAATGATTAAAAGAGGGTGAATGGGAAATTGAGGGAAATGAAATTTTTAAGTCTCCCCCNATGGGTATATAAGCAATTGCTCTTCTTCTAGCTCTTAAAGGGTTGAGAAGAAGGCAAGCCTCGCGCCGCCGTCGTCGCCGCTCGCTCGGCTCAGCTTCAGCTTCAGATTTGATACATACTCTCTAGTTACAAGAATTACGTCCATACGGATGTTAGTAGCATTAGCTGAAGGGTTTGTGGTTCCAGGTAAATAAAAGAAGGTATGTAGACTTGTTAAGTCCCTTTACGGACTAAAGCAAGCACCCAAACAATGGCATACGAAATTTGATCAAAGAATGTTGTCAAATGGTTTTAAGATAAATGAATGCGATAAACGTGTGTACATTAAAAATGTTACAAATCACATAGTCATTGTTTGCTTATATGTGGACGATATGCTGATAATGAGTAATGACATTGTCAACATAAATGCTACTAAGCGTATGCTAATTAGCAAGTTTGATATGAAGAACTTGGGTGTTGCTGATTTAATTCTGGGGATTAAGATCCATAAGACTCCTCAATGTCTGGCATTGTCACAATCTCATTATATTAAGACAGTACTTGAAAAATTCAAGCACTTAGGGTTTAAAGTTGCAAATACTCCAATTGACGTGAATCTTGCATTAACAAAGAACAAAGGCCAAAGCATGTCACAATTGGATTATGCTCGTGCGTTGGGATGCTTAATGTATATCATGAATTGTACACGACCAGATATAGCTTGTGCTATAAGTAAATTGAGTCGATACACGAGCAATCCAGTTTAATCTCATTGGATGGCAATAAAACGAGTTTTGGGATATTTAGAACATACCCAGGGCTTTGCTTTGCACTACAGTAAATATCATGCAGCGATTGAGGGATATTGTGATGCAAATTGGATCACCGGTTCAATTGATTCTAAGTCCACAAGTGGATATGATTTCACTATTGGTGGAGGAGCGGTATCTTGGAAGTTATCCAAACAAACTTGTATTGTCCGCTCTACAGTAAAGGCTGAATTTATAGCCTTAGATAAAACTAGTAAAGAAGTTGAATGGCTCCGAAATTTCTTGGAAGACATTCCATTTTGGCCCAAATCGTTGGGAATAATGTGCATAGATTGTGATAGTCAAGCGGAAATTGGAAGGGCTGGGAGCGTTATGTATAATGATAAATCTTGTCATATATGACGAAGACATAAAACCGTTAGGCAATTACTCTCTAGAAGAATTATAATGATTGACTATGTAAAGTCAAGCAATAATGTGTCGGATCCACTTACAAAAGGGCTAATGTATGCGGCGAAATCAGAAGACTTGATTTCTCGCTATCAAGACATTTCGGAAGCATGCCCCGGGACCCCGAGGGCGGGAGGTCGTGACCGAGTTCTCGGCCTCAGGGCTTGTCGAAGCCCGACTCGGAGGAAACAAGGAACGAAGCCAGGATAGAGGGGGAAGCCCCCTAGGCACATGGCTACGTTGACAGGCCCGGCCTATCCGGAGCCTATGCTGAGAAATCACGTCTAGCCGTCCCATCCCCGCATCTTTACATTTAATGCACTTTGTACTATAGCGTGTTACATCGCCTATATAAGGGGAACCAATACCATTTTGTAAGGGACTGATGTTTCTCCATTTCTCCATAAGTGCAATAATATCTCTCTCTCTCTTTTCTTCTAAGTTGTTCGCTTTCACTGGTCCGAGGCCGTTTTAGCATTTATCATTCTTTCACTTGTTCTTCACTATATCGTTCAATATTGGCAGCATAGAGCCTTGCTCGATCATATCTCTGCATGTTACCCCATTCCCAATTGCCCTCGATAGCCCAAGCTCGGCTCGAACCTTGGCCCAGAGGCCCCCGTCGACAAGTTTTGCATCCGGGCAACATGCC